TTGAACAGACAGCCAGACCCTGGGCAGGATTTTTATTTATTTATTTTTCTACTTGCCAGAAAGAAAGAGGGAAACTGAGAAAGCCCCTCCCCGCCATGGGGGATAGTCACGCTACAGTCCCTTCTCTGCCATCTCTCCCTCCCCTTGGGATTTTAGGCACACACACACATGCCTGGCATATTTTTGAAGCTGTAGAGTCTGAGACCCGAACCTTGTGGTCAGCCATGCGGGATCTGGCTGCCTCAACCACCAGGCCACGGCTGGCCCATAAGTCAGGATCTTCAAGAGAGATTTCTCCTCTAAGCTGCCCAAAGTGGGAGTCCCTAGTTTTACAGGGCTCCCTAAAATTGCTTACCTCCCTCTGTGTAATTCTGCCTTCACAGAATCATCATTATCGTGCTGCTAACAGAGGTGCTCTCAGACTTCAGACACTTAGCTGGAGTTAAAGTGTCTGATGAATTAAGGCTTGAATAAGAATACCCGGAATAGAGTGCCAGGCCTGGGTGCGCCCCCGTCATCCTGGCATGCACCTCTGGAGGTGCACAGCGCTCTCCCCATCTCACATGTGAGAAAACCGAGGTTCGGGGAGATGAACACGCACTCCTGTCATCACTGAGTCATGGGCCAGGTTGGGTGGCCAAGTGAAACCAAAGAACGCTAACTCACCTGATCACATTTGTTCCTGGTCACACACAAGTCACAAAACTGGAATTTGAACCCAGCTCTAAGGCAAAGAAAGGAATTAACCCAGGCTTGCCGCGGGCTTAACTCTTCATCATTTCCCCGTGGCAGGCACGGAGAAGGCCTTTACAAGAGGACTTGCTGTCCAGTGCAGAGGACAGTTAGTTGGCGGCCTCCAGATGCTGGCATCCTCAGGGCGTGCCTCGGCTTTTAAGCTGCAAGGCTGCTCCTCTCTCTGGGACAATGCAGTGACTGAGGCAGTGCAAGGACCTGACCATCTCCGCCTCACGGGGCTCCTCAGACAGGCAGACTGGGGCTCAGAGTGCCCTCTAGGGCAGGGGCTGTGTGACTCTGTCTGCCCAGCTCCCCTGCACAATCCTGCCTCCCTTTTCTTCTCAGAGGTGTTATTCCCAATAAACTCTCCTATTCCTAACTCCGCCTCAGCTTCCAGAAGGACCCAACCTGGGACACATGGACTTAAAAGAGCATGATCATTTTACATACAGAGCAACTAGCCCTCCAGGACTAATTGGTGGCATGGTAGTTAAGGAGATAGGATCCCACATTGCCGACTCTGCAGTTCGAGTCCCAGACCTACTGGCTTGAAAAACAACCAGGCATATGTGTGCGTGCCCAGAATCCTGAAAGGAGGGAGGAAAGGAGAAGAGATCATGATGTGACCATCCCCCATGGTGGGGTGCTTTTTTACTTTTCCTCTCTTTGTCTCTCTCCAGCAAGCACATGTGCCCTCTAGCAAAGCAGAAACAAAAACAAAAACAAAAAACTGGCCCTCTGATTTGGGACTCAGGCCTAGGTCTGCATGACCCCGAAGCCTGTTCCCTGCCGCTGCCCCATGGTCAACAGTCCAGGTATGAGCCTGGCACCCTGCCGTGCGGGTCTCTGTCCAGGAAGTGTGCGATTTGCTTGCGAAGGACTACAAAAGAGAAAGAGCAGAGGGCTGGACACTGGTGGCCCGTGGCCAGACCCTCGACAGTGGCATGCTGCGTGCCGGTACTGAGCTACTGAGAAGGCGGGAGCGAGGCGATGGAGGGGAAGCCTGGATCCCAAGGGCTTGGCCCCTAGGCTGTGGTGAGGCCAGGGACCCTGGCATCTGGGCCACACAGAGGCCAATGCCATTATCCCAGGGCTGCATTTCTGAGTCCCTTTCTCGGTAAGTGTGGAGCATTTTCACCCCTACGAGCTCTTTTGCCTTTTCCTTTTACTTCTGTCCGGGGGTTGGGGAACAATGCCTACCCAAGCAACGTCTTCTGAGCATGGTGACCCCAGGAAGCAGGAGAGGATGTTCTGGGAGCACAGGGTGGTATGGGGGCAGGGTTGGCATGAAGCCCAGGAATCTAAATTACTCCACTCACTCAACTTTAAGAAGAAAACTAAAGCCCGGAAGTTAGCAACGGTGCTTAGTCAGAAACCGTATCCAGGTCCCTGGATTGGCTATCTGTGTGTCCCACAGTTGGGCTTCCCTTACTTTTTAAAAAATTATTTAATTTTATTTATATATTATTATTCTTCAATTTGACCAGAGAGAGACAGAGAGAGGGAGGGCGAGAGAGCAAGCCACCAGGTCTGGGACTTGAACTGTGGTTGGCCATGTGGGAGTCTAGTGCCTTAACCATCACACCATCTGCCAGCCCGGGTTTCCCTTTTTCAAACCTGAAATAAAAGAATCTCAGCATAACTTTAGAACTGGAGGAGGCTTTGGCAATCACGTTGTCCGAGTTCCTCATTCTCCCAGGGAGCAGGCACGGGCCCAGAGAGAAGGCCGTGCTCTGTCTTATAGCTGCTAAGTGGCAGGCCTTGACCGAGGACCCACGTCTCCAGGGTTCCTTCTGTATTGCTGCTCTGCCTCCCCTGTTCACTAAGTTGTCTCTGCATGCCCCTGAGACCCAGCTAGAGCCACTGCCCCTGGTCTAAACCTCCACCATGGGAACATACCATGTGGTCATGATGGGGTCTGAGCTGTGATGGGCTGTCCCTCAGTCGGGGTGGGTCAAAGGGGTCACCAACACAGGGTTCTGGTAGAGAACCAACCAAGGCCTAAAGCTGTCTTTTAAAATCCAGTTTATCGTATTTTTTTTCTTCAGTTGGAAGATGTTTATTTTGTGTCTAAAGTGGTTATTAACAAGTCAATATATATGAGGAGTCCAATAGAAGAACTTTCCCTTGAAAGCCTTCCAGACTCAGTTGTATGTCGTGTAGCGAGGAGTGGACTGAATTTGGGGTAGTAAGACTTAGTGGCCTTGTTTACAGCTTCCAAGAAGGCCTTCTCAGCAGCAGTTTCCGGCCGTGCTCTGATTGCAAACAGACCCGTTCTGTGCAGACGCTTCGTATCTCAGCACCAGTGCTGTTTGGACATAGTCATGCTAACAATTCAAATCTGGTGTCTCTTTCAACACTCATTGAACGAGCATGAACTTTAAAGATGTGAGTCATCTTTAAGATCAGGCAAGCTAAATTCAATCTTTCTATCCAATCTCCCTGGCTTTGCCAATGCTGGGTCCGAAGGATCAGGTCTGTTAGTGGCCATCTGCACTTTAGCCTTGAGAATCCAAACCATCCAGCTGACCCATCGGTTCCAACACTGCTCTCTGCACCTCATTGTCACCTCCAGTGCCGTCATCAAAGCGAGCCCCTCCGATAGCATCAAGTTCATCAATAAAGATAAGGCAGGCTTTTTTTGTTCAGGCCATTTTGAAGAGCTCACATAACATTTGAACTCCCTCACTGACGTATTTCTGTACAGGTTCGGATCCAGTAACTCAGTGAAGCACGCGTCAGTCCTGTCAGCAACTGCCAAGCACAGTACCTGGTGGACCAAAAAGCAACACGCTCTTAGGAGGCTCCATGCCGAGGTTCACAAACGTCTCTAGATGAAGTAGAATTCAAATATTGCCTCTATTATTACAAACATTTCATTCACATATTTTTAAAGACTCTATAATCTTGGAGTGCCACCACATTCTATTGACTGTCACTGTAACTTATTTAGCCAGTTGGACACTCGGGCTGTTGATGGTTGGTCCTAATACAAGGAACGCAGAGATGGGAGTCTTCATGCCTCGAGCACCTTCTGTTTTGTACTCATTTCCTTAAGCTGGAATCAGGCCTGGCATGTTTTGCTCAGCAGCTCTGACCTTCCTTCTCCTCTAGCAGGAAGTTATCGAACGTGTAGTTAAGTCTACAAGATGCGAGGCATATTCTTGGACACTTGGGGTCAATTAAATCATTTCATGCTGGCAGTTTAATGGTAGAGGCAAAACTGAAAGTAGAATGAGATAATCATGCAAGTGATCTAAAAATGATGAGTGTATTAAAGATTATGCGGGTGGATGGGAAACAGGTGGAGTCCCCAGGACTCCTTCCTGGATGGGCTTCCAGCCAGAATCCATGACCAACTGCCGGCCTCTCATTTGAACACCTGAGTCTGGATACCTCAAGCTAGGTAAATATTCCAGAGAAAGTGACCCAGAAGGGATCTGAAAAAGAAAAGGGAGAGGCTAAGCCAGAATCGAGTGGAAATGGCCCTGACACAAAACCTAGGTGGGGAGTGAGGCTTGGTCCTTCCACCCCTGCTCCCTGGACAGAGGGAAGCTGAAGCTGGAGGGGAACAGAGCCAGGAGGTCCCAGCAAGTCCTGCTCTCCTGCTGGACAGTGGAGACCACAGACTCAGAGGATCAGCCTGGACACCCAACAGCCAAGATGGTGCGTGAGCCTGGGTGCCACTCACTGTGCCCGAGGGGACACAGCTCCTGCCCGCGGTATTGCAGTCTAACAAGATCTAGACCTGGGGGAAGGGCATTTGACGACAGGCCCTCTGGGTCTGTGACGTGTGGTATGGGTGTGAGTTGGGTAATGGCAAAGGCCCAGTGAGGACGATCCATGAGCTCTGTGTTAGTTTCCTAGGCCTGTATTACAAAGTACATCAAGGTGATGACTTTGAACCACAGAAATTTGTTCTCTCACAGTCCTGCAGACTGGAAGTCCAAAACTGTTACCGAATTTAAATTAGGTTCGCTCGCCCAAGCGCTGTAAAACTAAGCCATAGGCACACGGTGTGATGAAGGAAAGTACAGCTTTATTGCAAAGCGCAAAGCAAGGAGAGCGGGCAGCTCATGCTGAAAAGACGGTCTCCCCGAGATGTTCCCCACATGCGTTTTTAAGGGCAAAATTAGGGGCAGAGGTCCCAGGCGCATGATCAGTTCAGTGATTGGTTTAAGAGGGCGTGATCAGCTCGTGGGCATTCTTGATTGGTGAGGCCTTAGATAACCAAATTCCTCTTCAGGTGTCTGGAACCATTCAGCCTGGAGTCTCTGAGCTCACAACCAGCAGTTTTCAGTCTATAAAACATTTTACATATTGAAATAAAAACCTTTTTTTCTTTTTTTTTGTTTTTGTTTTTGGAGAGATTTTCACTGTAGGGCGTGTGCGCTCGCCAGACAGACAGAGAGAGATATAGAGACAGAAAGCGAGAAATCACCCCCCAGGGGGGATGGTCACGCCGCAATCCCTTCTCCTTCATTCTCCTCTCGGGATCTTGGGCACGCACGCACACACGCCCGGCGTGAGTTTTAAGTCACCGGGTCCGGGACGCGAACTGCGGTCGACTACGTGGGAGTCCAGCGACATAGCCATTACGCTAACTGCTGTTTCCCAAAACCTTTTTTTCTTTAAGTGAGAGTTTTAGAGGTCAAATGGCCCTCACTCATGGTCCATGTTGGTCATTATTATAACCAAAGCCTGAAGACTTACTCCTTACTCTGGGCCATTACAATGCAAATGGACTTTATATTTTAGGAACCCTAGAAAATACATTAGGGGGTTCTTGCTCTGTTTCAAAACCAAGGTGTCAGCTGGGCTGTGCTCCCTCCAAAGGCTCTGGGGAGGATCTTTCCTTGCCTTTCTCTCATCTTCTGCTGGTTGCCAACAATCCTTGACACTCCTTGGCTTGAAGCTGCATCACTCCAATCGCTCCTCTTTTGTCACATGGCCATATTCTCCATGTGTGTCTTTGTCCCTGTTTTTCTTTCCTTATAAGGCCACCAGTCATGGGCCAGCCCTGTAGCACAGTGGTTTAAGTGTTATGTTTAGGAAACCAAATCCCACATGGCTGACTGCAGTTCAAATCCTAGTTCTGGCGACTTGAAAACCATGCTAGGTGCTTGTGCATGCGTGCCCAGAATCTTGGTGGGATAGAGCTATGGAGAAAAGACATTGCGGCATGGCATGGTCCTCCCCTTCTTTCTCTCTATCCCTCCCTCTCTCTGCTTCTCTTTCTGACAAGTGCACACAACTCCTGGCAATTTGAAAAAAAAGGGCACCAGTCATTGCATTAGGGCTCACCCTAACCCGCATGACCTCAGCTTACATCTGCAGAGATCTTATCTCCAAATAAGGTCATGTTCTGGGGGTCCAGGTGACATGAATTTTGGGGAGAAACTTATTTAACCCAGTACAACCTTCTAGAAGATTGGGGAAGGGTAAGTGTAGAGTTTTTACAATTGATGTGTCATGCCAAATGACTACTTATTCCAGGGAACACCAGAGGTGAGGCTGGCCCTAGAAATCTCCCAAACACCTGCCTCGTTGTCTCTGAGTCAAGAGATAAGCTGGGAGACCAAGGGGAACAGCTGACTAACCCTTCACGCAAGTTTCCTGGGATGGGAAGCTTGGTGGGCAACTGTGGACCCAGGAACCCCCAGGCAGGCCTCATGGAGTCTATGCTGACCCTACCCCTCCACTGCCCAGGAAGGCCAAGAGAATTGGGAAAGGCGGTAAAACAGGGCCCAGGAGGCGTGGCCCACACCTGTTCCTGGTGATTTGGGCCATGCCCTTGCATGTGTGGATTTGCTACAGTTGAACGAAGGTATCATACTTCCAGTTTCCTTCTGAACTCAGAGAACAGAGTAAGGGGGAGAAGGGAGAGGAACAGGCAGTCACTTTAAAAACAAATTAACCCCACCCTGTCCTCGAGCATTCCGCAGGCAGGTGTGTCACCCAACTCCTCATACCCCCTGGGACTAGTCCGCCTTACTCGACCTGGGGTGCGGAGGTGGAGGGACTAGAGCTGGACATTTTCTCTTTAGCCTATGCAATGCCAGACTCTCCCTTTATAGGAAAAGGTGACTTCTCACCATGCCCTGCCCCCTGAAATTGCTTCGTCAAGTGCGCTTGGAATGTTCTGTGGCCCCAGCCCGCTTCACACACTCCGGGAGCTGGAGGAAGAGGCAAAGGATTATCCTACGTAGATGCAAGAACTGCAAAGTGAGGTTTCCACTGAAACCAAAGTTCAGCTTCAGGGTCTGGGGATGGCTTCAGCCACCACGAACCAAGTACAGAATAAGCTGCCCAGGTCTGCTGAGGTCCAAGTGGCAGCTTCAGGGGGGAGCCATTAGCCTGCTTCCTCCAGGAGGAGAGTGTGAGAGAGGCTGGGTGGGCCCTAGAAGGCAGAGTGAGTGCCCAAGTCACTGTTGACAAGCACCTTCCCAAGTGAGCCTCAGTCTCCACATTCATGCAGTGGGAATGGTGGTACTAATTTCTATTAATAGGTTCTTAAAAACATTAGTGCTCACCTTCCCCAGGGAAGGGGACTTGGACGGAGAATATGGGGCTGTTGCAGGTGAAAGTGGCTAGCTCGACGAGGACATGAGAGGGCTACAGTGCCCAATTCTTGCCAAGAGAATAGTTCTGGAAGGAAGATGGACTAGCAGAAAGAAGGGCCCGGCTTCAGGGCTCAGGAGGCTACTGTCTCCACTGAGGTCCTTGCAAACTGGGGGATGGTCAGCCGGTCTGGATCAGGTGTTTCTCATATGCAGATCAGCTTGTTTTATGCAATGGTTATACAAGTTGGCTCTATGGGCCCAGCCTAGAGTTCTGAACTGCAGTGCTAGAAGCCACATGGTGGTGGACCATGGGCTTATATCCCCGGCCTGGTCAACCTGGAACATGCCAGGTATGTACACTTGTGCCCGAGACCCTGACAAGGTGGAGAGCCGGTTGGGGTGGGGTGGGGTGGAAAGGACCATGGCGTGACCTTGACTGTTGAGGGTGCTTCTCTCTTTTGTGTGTATGTACATGCAGTCTCTATCATGAATAAAAGAAACTTAAGAAAAGAGATTATTTAGGTTGGTAAATTCTTTGAGGACTGTGTTTGGAGGCGGAAGGAGAGGAGCCTCTTTGACAGAATGGCATTTCGAGAATTGTCAATAGATGCAATAGGATTGAATCAACCTACTAAAAAGCAAGGTTGAGGTGGGGAGGTCCTGGGAGGACTTGCTATGAGAGGTGTATTTTATCCTGACACTAGGCTATCTCACAGCACAGAGTCTGTAGGCCCTAGTTATAGCCTGCCCGTATGGTGGGAGTTCACATTTAGGTGCCAATATCTATATTATAGTAGTCATTAGATGCCTAATCAGATTGAGTATTCCTTCTCCAAGGTGCTTGGGACCATCAGTGTTCCGGGTTTGGGATTTCTTTCTGATTTTGGAGTATTTGCATATACATAAGGGAGGTATCTGAGGGGTAGACACAAGCCTACACATGGAATTCACTTATGTTTCATATACACCTTGTACACATAGTCTGAAGGTAATTTTACACAATAGTCTGTTTCGATTACGACTGAAGTCAGGTATAGAATCTTCCACTGTGGCATTGTGTCAGTGCTCAAAATATTGCAGATTTTGGAGCATTTTGGGTTTTAGACTTTTAGATTAGGCATGCTCAACCTGTAATTAACAGGTTTACTATATAACCAGTGCTTATTATACATAATATATTATTGTTTATTAATCTAATTTAAATGTGAAATCGCCTTTTGAAAAATGCTTTAAAAGGAGGGAACCCTGCCTGTGGCCTGGTGGTTAAGGGAGCTGGATCCCACATGGCCAACTATGTGGTTCAAGTCCCAGATCTGGTGGCTTGAAAAATATGCCGTGTGTGCAGGTGTGTGCCCATGTGTGCCCAAAATCCCCAAAGGAGGGGGAAATGGAAGAGTAGGCATGTGGCATGACCATGCCCCATCGGGTGGTACTTTTCCCTCACCTTCCCTCTCCTGTCTCTCCATCTCTCTCTGGCCAGCACATATATCCTTTGGCAAGACATTTTTTTTTAAGAATTATTTATTTAACTTTATTTATTCATTCATTTATTTTTAATTTGACCAGAGAGACACACACAGAGAGACACAGAGAGAGAGAAGGTGAGAAAGCAAGCTACCAGGTCCAGAACTTGAACCGAGGTCAGCCATGTGGGAGCATCCAGTGTCTTAACTACCATTCCACACGCTGGTCCCCTTGGCAAGACTTTTAGAAAATGCTTTAAAAGATTTCATAAATTTTTATTACCTGGAGAATCCCTGCATGTCCAAACTCCTTTAATGAACCTGGGAAACCAAACCCCAAAGCCCTCGTCACCTCAAGACAATTAGGCCACTTGCCCTCCGTTAGTTTAACCCCTCTGCCAAGTGGCAGGTCTACACCCAACCGACCCAACCAGCAGCTGAAGGCAGCTCTCCAGAAAGACCTGGCTTTCTGAGGGCCCTGCCTGTAGGACAAGGCCTCACCCCAGCCCCTATGCCATCAGAGTAAAGTCACTGTGCTTTGCCTAAAGTGGTAAAAATATGAAACCCAAACTCTTGTTCTTCATTAGAATTGCTCCTTCATTTCCCACCAGCCCTCAACAAAAATAAGAGGCAAAATTAAAATTCATTTGTGTGTTTTTTAAAACGTATAAGTACCCTCAACAGGGTCTCCACATCATCAACCCCCCTCCCCTAGTTTCAGCCTTTCTGGATCAAAGGCCCATGAGCGAGCACTCATTGTGTTCAGGGAGGCCCTGGGATGTGAACCAAGGACCTTTCTATGTGGATCCAGTTGCATTATCACTGTACCACCTCCTAGCCCATCACTTGTATGTTTTTCTATTAATATATCAGTGAATCTATGTTTTTGTATAAATGATCAATACATTTAAAAAGCAACACTGACTTCACTTAGCCTTCTCAGGACATAAGTCATGATCTTTCAGCAGATCAACACAGGGAGGGGAAAGCAAGAAGAAAATGCCCATGTCAGAGGGGAGTGTTAGTGAGTTTCCAGGTACAGTGAAGGCACATGGACCTGGCACACATGCACACATGCCCAGTGTGAGTTTCAAACTGCTGGGTCCAAGACTCCCACTGCAGTCTGCATGTGGGAATCCAGCACCTTAACCACTATGCCACAGGCTGGCCCCAGAAAATGAAAAATAAATTTGAGAATAGCATAAGCTAAGGTTATTTTAAATAACTAAGAACATTTGAAACTTATTTGAAAAATATTATGTTGTTTACTATACA